CACACACACACACACACACACACACAGACACACACACTTTTCCCCCTCCCCCTTTCCCTTTCCCTTTCCCTTTCCCTTTCCCCTAACAACGTTTCTTATAAGTTTCCAACATTCCTGTTCCGATGATGGTTATGTTTTGACAAAAGAATACACTCGTGTGATTTCGTTACTTAGCAAAATTCACATTTCGTGAATAATATGAACAAGGCAAATAATAATCCTCACGTGAAAAATAAAATAGATGTTCAGACTAGTTTATCACACGTAATCGCAATCGTGCACTCACGATCAACCAGAATTCCCAATGAAGATCCTATTTCTGAAAATAAGCACATAGATTTCATTGTATAAAGCACTGTACTTTACACGAATTCGAAGCTCTATAATAACTAACTATAACCAAACCACCATAGAAACATACCACAACAGCACAGCACTCAATACAATATCCCCTCTCTCTCTTTCCAATTGGCGTGTAATAGAGAAGTGATACAAATCTTGCTACGGGAAATCCCTCAGCAAACTGCTTGAGCCGGCTAAGTGCTTGGTGTTATTTCGGTGTTGCGCGGAGCACTTTTCTGTGTGCCGCGCCTAATGGCAACACGCACGCCGCGCCAGAAAATCCGAAACAAAAGCAGGCCGACCAAACTTACAATAACTTATCCGAACCCAAGCCGAGAAACTGTCGTAATCCAAATCCTGTGAAGTGCGAAATACAACTAGAAAGTAAAAACTACAACAACAGCAAAAAAGAGCGGTTAATTAAATCCTGTCGTATTATTTGATAAGTCATTATTAGTATCATGCTTTTAATCACTTCATTACTGAGACATTTTCACCTACGTCTGTATTGTCAATGGAAAAAAGTTCGTTCAAGAGATATTGAAACAGAACTAAAATGTATTTACCCTTATTTATTAAGAATAAGCAACTGTAAAAGTGGCAGTTAAACCTCCAAAGATGCCTCCTATATACACACGAAGAAACAAACAAGGCTGTGGCCCAATTTTGGAGAACACAAACAAATCGATAAGGTATGTGTACACAGCGGACAAGATGTTGAAATCCCGTAAGAATAAAACGTTTCAATCAACGAGGCAGGACGAAATTATGCCAACACACCTAAACTACGACTATACAGCAGGTTGAGCAGTTAGTCTAAACTGTAACCAAACATTTCCAATCGAATAATAATAACTATTATTAGTTCCACGCTTTAATTAAACTTTTGTAGAAATGCAACGATCCAATTTGTGAGGAAGCAACGAAACGTAAACACGCCGAAGTTACAACAACGGTAATGCTAAACTGTAGACAAACATGACGTGTTGTCCACTTAATGTGATTTTTCTAATCTACCACGTTTTAAAAATATTCTGTCGGAATGCCACAATCCAATTTATTACGAGGAAGTAACAAAACGTCAACACGCCAAAGCTACAACAGCAGTAATGCTAAACTGTAGACAACCGCATGACATGTAGTCCACTTATTATGATTTTTTCTAGATTCTACCCTTGGAGTAACTATACCACGTTTTTCTATTCTGCAAGAATGCAATGATCCAATTTACCAGGAAGTAACGAAACGCCAACACACCAAAGCTACAACAGCAGTAATGCTAAACTGTAGACAAACGTGTGCTGTCCACTTATTGTGATTTTTGAGCCACGTTTTAACAGTATACTCTGTCGGAATGCAACAATCCAATTTACGAGGAAGTAAATCTAGGTAACAAGCTGTCAACTGGCGCGACTCCCTGCAGTCTGCAGCAGACTCCAACTCCAACATCAGACTGCGACTGTGGCACGGGGGATGAGAGAGCGGCCACCGGCGGAAAAAACACGACGTCACTGGAACAAACTGTTTGTCGGGGAGGGGCGGGAAAAGTAGGGCTGGGCAATGAGTCGCTTTATCAAAATCCGGATAATACTATGTTAGTGCACCTCTTCGGCAGATAATATGATATGAACCGCTTCGTCAAATGGGTTAGAACCACATCGACAAACGGGTTAGCACTACTTCAACAAATGGGTGCACCCCACTTCGGCAAACGGGTCAGGAAAGAGAGTAAGGAGTCTGAATTCGAATAATGTTTCATTGAGAATTATCCGGTTATCCTTATAGTTTATCCGGATTTTGCCCACCTCTAGGGAAAAGGTATAGAGGTCGCCGGCTGGCCGCTAATCTTCAGAGTCAATGGAGTTATCACGCCCACCAGTGAGGGCGAATGTGGGACATAGCGGGTTGTGTGAGAGAGGAGCGGTGTCTCGGTATGAGCCCCCCGTTTGGTGCGCGCAGGGTGCCGCTCGTTCCCGTGTAGGCCACTGAGGCGTGGGAGTGCCTGAGGGTGACAGTGCCAGACCCACGGCCTGACAACTCTACAGCGTTTTTGCGGGAGTCGGAGCGATGTTGGTGTTGTTGTTGTTGGTGGTGGTGGTTG